TTTTATTGGTTATTTGGAGTCTATTCTACTTTGAGTTGAGTTAAGCCTTTTTCACTACTGATCGTTATTCGTTTGCATGATCATGATTTAAGGGGTGGAAAAATAAAGCCTTGTCAATTCGAATTAAGTAAAAAATAAAAAACAAACAAGCCAGGTTATCAGTGCTGCTGCAATGATGAGTGAGAGGTGATGTTAAATCTCTCTGAGGAAATATTGAAAATAAATATTTAAAAAAAATGAAAAAAATAATATTTTGTAATAAAAAAACACATAACAATAAATATGACACAAATTCTATAACACAATGGTCTTTGCAGATTTATGTTTGTGAAACCATGGCACTAGTCACAGGTAATAAAAACAATATATTTAAAATTATATAAATTAAAAATAAATAATAAAAACAAATTGCATTAAAAAATATAATAATGATAAATAAACAACCAATAAAAACAAATGACTGAAACAAACTGATTTAATTATAATATAAACTATAATAAAAAAAATATTTTATATTTAATAAAAAAAATAATAATAATAATTAATAAAAAAATAAAAATAAAAAATTAATAGTAATAATAATTAATAAAATAATTTAAAAATGATTAATAAAAAATAAAATGTATATAAAATGACTGTTGTTTTTAAGCTCACAATACAATAGTGTGTACCCTACCCTCTTTATTTCCGAATTTTTAAGAAATTGTCTATAAAAAAACCATATAAAGATCAAATTTTAATTCCAAGGATTCTTTAAATGAACAATTTAAAAAGCATTAATTTCCCTCCACCATATGGAACGAATTTAGACATTTTCAAATAAATAAAATCCGCTAAAAATTCGTCTTAAAAATACAGAATCTAGGCACTACCCTCTTTATTTCCGATTTTTTAAGAAATCTTCTATAAAAAAAACCTAATAAAGATCAAATTTTAATTCCAAGGATTCTTTAAATGAACAATTTAAAAAGCATTAATTTCCCTCCACCATATGGAACGAATTTGGACATTTTCAAATAAATAAAATCCGCAAAAAATTCGTCTTAAAAATACAGAATGTAGCCATTGAATTAGGGTCTATACGACGATGTGGACCTGCATAGGCAATGTTTCGTCATAAGCTATTAAAATATTCAAATGCGAAACTTGTAGAAAAAAATCGGTGAATCACAATACCGAATATCAGGAGGTGCCGTTATATGGGGGCTATACGAAGACGTGGACCTGCACAGACAATTTTCTGTCATAGGCTGTAATATCCATTACGAACTTCAAATCCCATATTTGAAACAATTTCGGTGAATAATGTCGTTTAAATCAGCAAAATACCGAATATGGGGAGGTGGCGTTTAATGAGGGCTACACGAAGATCTGGCCCTGCGTAGGCAATTTTCTGTCATAGGCTGTAGTATCCACTACGAACTTCAAATACCAAATTTTAAACAACTTCGGTGAATAATGTCCCTAAAATCATAAAAATACCCAATATCGGCAGGTACCGATATAGGGGTCTATACCAAATCGTGGACCTACATGACCTATTTTCAATACCAAAAGTCCTGCAGACATAACATACATTTGAGTAAAATTTTATCAACCTTCTTCATTTCGTTCGGAAGCTATAGTGATTTCCACAGACAGACAAACGGATAGACGGACAGGCGGACGGACATCGCTAAATCGATATAGAATTTTATGCTGATCAAGAAAATAGGAAAATAATTCCTTGAATAAAAATTTGATCTTATTTTTTAAACTTTTTAATAAATTCAATAACCTAACTTGATAAATTCAATTGAATATAAGAAGAATAAAATGCATATATCTAAGTAGTACGAGCTCAATTTTAGCGGTGTTTCGAGAAGTGGGATTTTTCCACACACACACAGTATCCAGTTATGCAATATTTTTCTTTGAAAGTGAAATAAATTTGCATTTTTAGGACAAAAATTATAAATTTTATAAAAAAAAGTAAATTAAACTTTTTTTAAAAAATACTAAATTGAGGAATTAAATTTTATAACTTAAAAAAAGTTATATTCAATGGAAATAACAATATTTTATTGAAAATTATTTAAATCTGTAAACAATTGTATTTTTGACGAAACTTTTTTTTGGTATTTTTTATTTTTGGGGAAGTTTTTATTTTTAATCGAAATTTATATTCTTTTTTTTTTTTGTTTTTTTTTTTTTTTTTTTTTTTGAGAAAAAGTAAAAAATGTCTGTATATTTTTATCATTTCTTGTTTTTTTAAGGAAATATGTGGAGGAATCCATTGTATTTTTTAGTTGTTAAAATTAAACCCCATGGAGCTCGTACTGTATACTTGAAACCCTTAAAATACATTTTATATACACGTTCTATAAAAGTACTAATAAAAAACAAATAATATTTAAATACCATGTATTATATTCCTTAAAAAAAAAACTAAATATTGCCATTAAGCCTTCAATGTGATGTGTTTGTGTGTGTGTTTATATTAAAAAAATAAAAATAAATAAGCATTTTTTAAGTAAATATGTTAAGCCTTGCTAAATCTTACCAAGCTGATTAATTATTATTAATTATTAATAAAATTGGTCGATTTCGTCGGATTTCGAGAAAGGAGAACGAAATTTGTTATTGGTGTGTATTTTGTTCTGTTTTGAAAAATCTACAGGCTTTTTAAATGATTTGAAAAGGAAAAAAAGAGGATATTGTGCTGCTAAAAACATAAATAAATAAAAATAAAAAACAAAAAAAAATAAATAATAATAATAATAATAATAATAATAATAATAATAATAATAATAATAATAATAATAATAATAAATTAAAAAAAAAATAAATAGATAAAAATTTTTTTCCGAAAAAAAAATGTTAATATTTTTTTAATTGTGGATAAAGGATCCAAGGATCTTTTTTATATATAATATAATATCTGTTTTTTTTTTTTGCAAAATCTTGAAATAATTTTTGTGAAATTTTAATATTTTGATGGTATTGTAATTTTTTAAAAATACCATTTCAATATAGATTTTTTTTCAAAAAAAAAAAAAAAAATAAATAAATTTTATTATTTTAAACCAAAGTTTATTTTTTATTTTTATTTAATAAATAAATATATTTATTTTATTTATTTACTTATTTATTTATTTTTTTTTTTTTAAAAAAACTTTGGATAATGAACATCCAAGGACATTTTTTTATAAATATCTGCTTCTTTACAAAACCTTGATTTTTTTTTTTTGTTAAATTTTAAATATTTAGATTCGCGCCATTTTTATATAAAAAAATTGGAAATTTGTTAACAAATTTGGATCTATGAAAAAATATTATGCTCAGAAAAAATCAATATTATCTATTTTTTTTTTTTTTGAAAAACTTTTTAATATTTTTTAACTACTGTGGATAATGGATCTAATACCTGTTTCTTTACAAAACCATTTCAACATCGAAATTTTCTTATAACAAAAATCGAACATTATTAAACAAACTTCGATATATAAAAATTCATGGGAAGGTTATAAGATATACTAGAAAGAAACTTTTTTTTTGATTTTGAAATTATTTAACAAATTTGGATATATTAGAAGATATTATGCTAAAAAAATTTTAGAATTTTTTTTTGTTTCTCTTTTTTGTTTGAAACAAAATTTCAATTTTCAATGTATGCAAGGACTTTTTTTATAAATATCTGTTTCTTTACGAAATCTTGAAATTATTTTGTGAAATTTAAATATTTTGACCCACTTTAAATATTTTGTTGCCTTTTTTTTTTGAAAAAATTATTTTAATATGGTATTTTTTTAATTAAAAAAATGGAAATTATTTAACAAATTTGGACCTAGAATAAGATATTGTTCTCAAAAAAAAAAAAAAAAAAAAAAAAAAAAAAAAATATATATATATTATTTTTTTTTTTAACAAAATTTTAATTTTGAATGTATGCAAGGACCTTTTTATAAATATCTGTTTCTTTACGAAATCTTGAAATTATTTTGTGAAATTTAAATATTTTGATCCATTTTTGTTGAAAAAATCATTTTAATATTGTAATTTTTAAATTAAAAAAAATTGAAATTATTTAACAAATTTGGATCCAGATAATTATAATATTATTATTTTTTTATTGTCATATTATTTATTTTTTAATAAAATAAAAATATAATAATAATAAAATATTTATTATATATATTATATATATAATAATATTTATTATATATTTATGTTATATAATATATTATATATGTATGTTATTATTATCATTATATTCATTTCATTATTATAATTTTAGTTTTATTTTATTTTTTATTTATTTATTCTTATTTTTTTTTCTTATTTTATTATTATTTATTTATTTTTATTTATTTATTGATTTATTTATTTATTTTTTTTTTTTTTTTGAAAATTGTATTTCCAAAATTATTTTCTTTTTCCCAAAATAATTGTTATTTTTATTACATTACCTCATTTTCAAATCATTTAATAGTCTGTGTGTAGGTAAAAATAAAATTTTGAGTATATGTTTGTTGGTTGGTTTGTCTGTCTGTCTATGTGTGTGCGTGTGTTGGGTGAAATTTTATGATTGAATGAAGAACAAGAAAAAAATTATTAAAAAATTATTTTGAAACTAAAAAGAGATATATATGAATTATTGCTCGTCGAAAAGTTGTTGTTTAAAATTATTAATATTTTTTTTTAACTAAAATAATATTAAAAAAAATAAATTATTTTCCAGTGATGTAATCGGTTTTCGTAGTAGTTGTGATAGTTATGAAATAAAAGGTTATATAGATGTCGTTTTTTTTTTTTGTTGTTTGATTTGATTGGTTTAATTTATGAACATAGCCGTTTCAAATGAGAAATTATTGTCAATTATTAACGATTTTCAAAAAATATTTTCTTATAAAAAAGAATGTGATGGAAATTATTTTTTTGTTGTTTTTTGTTTTAAAGAAAATAATAATATTTAAGAAAAAATAATAAAAAAAAGTTTGCTTATCTGGCAAACAACCCACCGCTATGATCTGTGTATTCCGTCAGCAGAGGATTTCCGGTCAGGGCGGTATTGTAGATGTTGTAATCACCGTAGGGGGCAAAGATCATGCCATGGGCGGGATTTTCAAATGCGGGCGCTGGGGTTGCGGTACCCGATAATATGCTCGCCGCCGATGTGGGCACGGTCATGCGTTGCGACAGGATCAAGGGGGCACCCAGTGGGGCGGCCTGGGGGGCACGCATTGTTTGGGCCAGGCCAGGCAGTGCAGGAGCCAAGAGGCGATTATCAGCCGAGGCGGCAGCCACCACACGACGCCATTCTTCGTCACAGACTAGAAACAAGTTACGTGGAGAGTGAGGGGGAATAAAAAAAGAGAGAGAGAGAGAGAGAGAGAGAGAGAGAAAGGAGATGGAAAACAAAATTTTAAATATCAAAGTTCCTGGTTTCGAAAATGTGGTATCTTAATTTCTTGATAAATACAAATAAAATAAGTCAGGGTTAAAAAAAAGATGTTGGTTAACAGCCGTTCTGTGGTTCTGTTCAGGGGCTTCTTTGAGGGGTGTGGAATGTGATTTCCATTTTAATTATTCAGTTTTTAATTATTAACAAGATTATTGTGAATTATTATTTTTATTTATTTATTGTTTTAATAAAAAAAATCAAAGAAGTTGGCTTGGCTAGTAAAAAAAATTGTTGTTGTTGTTGTTTTTGTTTTCGGTTACTACATACCTTGAGCCATGTTTTTCGCTGTGGTCGTATCCCTATAAGTGCCATTGATTATAGCTAATTCCATAAGTTGACGCTTTTTAAGTTCATCCTCGCCCTCCGCTTGCTGTGTTTTGTTGTTGTAATAATTTCAATGATTTTTTGTTGTTGTTGTTGTTGTTCATTTTTATTGCCACGAAGTTGGTGATTTTGGGTTTTTGTGTTGTTTGTGTAAAATTTTGCGGCGGCGGCGGCGGTGTTGGCATTGGCGGCAATGGCGTTGGTGTTGGCGTATTTTGCATTGGCATTGACGTTGGTTAGTACATTTATTTGGTTGGTTTTTGGTTTGGTTTTTTTTTTAATTATGGTTACCATTGTTTGATTGTTTTTTTTTTGGTCAGAAAATAAAATGAAAAGTAAAATTTGAAAAAAATTAATTAGTTGTTATTATTAATTATTTTTATTATATTCATTAGAAAAAAAAAATGGTTTTTTAAACAGTAACACAAGAAACAATAAAAGTAAGACAGGGTTATTTTGGAAAAAAGAAAAAAAACAGGGACAGCCAAAAACAATAGAGCTTTAAATGGACACACAGAAAGCTAGATCAAGAACTACACCCTTATAAAAAATTGAGGTAAATGACAGCCAGGGTAAAAAAACCTCATAGGGTTAAAAAATCACCCAATTTCTTGGGGTGATCAAAATTCGACATTTTTTTTTTTTTTTGAATTTTTAATCATTTTTATACCCAACACCCAGCTGTGGTCAGGATATTGGGATTTTGTAACATGGAGATAACTCGCTTTTTTCTCCACCCTTTGGAGGACCCTCATAGAATCATATTCTGAGTCGATTTTCGAATGTGCGCTTGTCTGTCCATTTATTATTGTCAACCATGTACAGGTCGCATTTATTGTTTCATTTAGAAGAAATTTTCCACAAATCATGTGTTTGACCGAAGGACGAACCCTAGTGAAATTGGTGAGAATTGGTTCATTTGAAAAGCCAATGAAGATACCTATCCAACAAATGATCACGGGGTTATTTAAAACGATTCGGGAATTATTTCTAAATTACCAATTTTTTGGCAATCGTTTTTTTTTATAAAACCCCAAAAAGTCCAATATTTGAGTCCATAAAAAATATATCAAATAATAGCTTACCATTCCAAAAATGCAAGCTATTATCTCTCCATGATCCAGAGATATTGTTTTTTGATCCCAGACAAGGCGAGTGTGTTCAGAACATCGTAGAGAGAGAGAGAGAGAGATTTTCTCCTCTGGGTATTTTCAAAACCGAACCTATTGAAATTGAACAGAATCGGTCCAAATTTAAGGAACAACTCTGGAAATTTTCCAGAGGTAGGGATTTTGTATCCTGATTTCTGGAAAGTAAATGTCCGCATACCCGGACATTTGACCAACAAGTTCACATCCAAGACCCGGGTTATATTCAGATCTACTTTTATTTATAATAATTAAAAAATAATAATACTAAGCTAATACAAATACCTATCCATTTTTATAAAACCTCCGAAAAGTCCAAAAAAGGCTCCATTATTGGAAGCCATAAAAAATTATACCAAACTGTAGCCTATACTACAACCTTTCCAAAATGCTACAACATAAGCGATTATCTTTCCTCTTAAAGTCTCTTCGGACCAAATCCGTTTCATTTTGAAACGATCGAGCCTATACTACAACCTTTCCAAAATGCTATAACATAAGCGATTATCTTTCCTGGTTACAGAGATATTGGTCTTTGAACCCAGATAACACAATTGTGTTCAGAATAACGTAGAGAGAGAGAGAGAGAGAGAGAGAGAGAAAAAGAGAAATTTTCTCCTCTGTCTGACACCGGCTAAGTTTTTCTAAATTTGATGCTGTTTTAGATAGACGGCCTTCGGTCTGAGCTTGGGATATTCTCCTCTGAGTATGTCCAACACCGGCTACTCGAAGTAAAGTTTTTCTACTCTCAGCCATGTGGCTATAGAGGGAATATATCGTTTGATACATCCAAAACATGACCTCATCGAAATAACGATTTGAGACTCTCAAAGTCTCTTTGGACCAAATCCGTTTCAGGACATTTTGAAACGATCGAGCCTATACTACAACCTTTCCAAAATGCTACAACATAAGCGATTATCTTTCCTGGTTACAGAGATATTGGTCTTTGAACCCAGATAACACAATTGTGTTCAGAAAAACGTAGAGAGAGAGGGAGAAAGAGAGATTTTCTCCTCTGTCGGACACCGGCTATGCGAATCAAAGTTTTTTTAAATTTGATGCTGTTTTAGATTGACGGCCTTCGGTCTGAGCTTGGGATATTCTCCTCTGAGTATGACCAACACCGGCTACTCGAAGTAAAGTTTTTCTCATCGAAATAACGATTTGAGACTCTCAAAGTCTCTGTGGACCAAATCCGTTTCAGGACATTGATCGAGGGGTGTGCGATGGTCTGTCTGTCTGGTGCGCGCGATAACTCTCGAAGAGTAATCAATTTTATGTCGATTTCGAAGATGGACAATATCGGTCCACCCCTTCTGGTACGTCCCTCCAACATTTTCACAGAAATGAATTAACCTTATATAACAGGACAATGATAGCCAATTTTGATCAAACTTTGAGAATCTTAATATTTTTATAAGTGCCAAGTCGGGTCTAAATATAGACAATATCAGTCCACTCCATGAAGTACCTTCCTCACAAAGGGTCAAAATTTGGAAAAAAAATATAATCCTTGTGAAATGCGAATTAATAGTCCGATTGTCTACAGATTTCGCACATTTCAATATTTCCAACAACACAATTTCGAGTGGGAAGATGGAATATATTGAACCACTCCTTCTGGTACCTCCCCCACAAAGGGGTCAAAATGTTGAATAATTATAACTCTCATAAAATGTGAAATGAGCATACGAATCCGATTAAACTCAGCACATCTCAATATTTTTACTAACACAAGATCTGTTGTGAAAATGGAATATATTGGCCCACTCCTTCTGGTACCTCCCCCACAAAGGAGTCAAAATTTTTCATAACCATGAAGCTCATGAAACGCAAAATAAGTATTCGATTCTTTTTAAACTTCTCACATTCCAATATTTCTATCAACTCAAAATCTGGTATGAAGATATAATATATCCAAAGTAAGTTCTGTTGAGAAGATGGGATATACCGGCCGACTCCTTCTGGTACATCCCCCACAAAGGGGTCAACATTTTCAATAACCGAAATTCTCATAAAATTCGAAATGAGCATCCGACACTTTCTAAACTTCACATATTCTAATATCTCTACTAACACAAGATCTGATGGGGAGATGGAATACATGGGTCCACTTCTTCTGGTGCCTCCCCACAAAGGGGTTACAACTTTGAATAATTTTAACTCTTATAAAATGTGAAATAAGAGTCCGATCACTTTCAAACTCCACACATCCCAACTTTTCTATCAAAACAAGATCTGCTGGGGAGCTGGAAAAAGTCGGACCACTCCTTCAAGTACCTCCCCCACAAAGGGGTCAACATTCTGAACAACCAAAACGCTTATAAAATGCGAAATAAATATCCGATTACTTTAAAACTCGGTACACCGAAACATTTCCATCAACACAAGATCTAGTTGTGAAGATGATAGATATCGGTGAACTCCTTCTGGTACCTGCCCCCCACAAAGGGGTCAACATTCGGAATAACCAAAACGCTTATAAAATGCGTATCCGAATAAGTATCCGATTCCTTTCACAATCGGCATATTGCAATATTTCCACTGACAAAATATCTAGTGTGAAGATGGTAGATATCGGTAAACTCCTTATTGTAAAATTTTTAAAAACCAAAACGTTTATGAAATGCGGAATATAAATCTGATTCCCTTCACAATCGGCACATCGCAACATATCCACTTACAAAAGATCTGGTGCGAAGATGGTAGATATCGATCCACTCCATCAAGGACATTAGCCCATTTCACTTCTAGCAACAATTTTCCCCCTCATTATAATTAAAAGTTATGGGGAGCGCCTAAAAGTATGCAATAACAATTCTTTTAAATCACCGTTTGCCTCTAACAAGATATCTAAGTCAATCTTTAAAATCCCTATCCCTTTAAGTTGTCCCGTTCTCCATTCCTATTTTCCTAAATTTGTATCCATTTTGTAAAGCATATATTTAGGCTTAAGGCATTTTTTTTTTGTTTGTTGGTTTCTTTAAAAGGAATGCACTCACACAGAAGTTATGTTAACAAAAATTTAGTTAAATATTAAACAAATTCGTATATATATAACATTTTATTCGTGTTTTTTCAGTTTTTATAAATTTTATTCCCTTCTGTATGTCGGAGAGAATAAAATTGTTCAAATTTGCGATCAATACTTACAGGTACAAGTAGTTTTTGCACTTCGGCAACGGCCTGGGCCAGCTTGATTTTGGCACGATTTTCTGTATCTTCGACGGTGATGAGGACATGCAGTTCATCGGATAAATGTTCCCAATTGGGTTTGCCTCTGTTGGCATCTTCCTGTAAGGGGGGAAAACAAGAACAAAAAGAGAAATGTAAGTAAAGGAGGCAAAACAAAAAATGTATAAATAATAAACAATAATAAAAAAACTCCACTAGTTTGTAAAATTTAAAGACATTTCTGACTGAAATAGTTGATTAAAACAAAAAATTAAAAAATAATAAAAACTGGAAATATTTAATGGATTTCAAATTTACATTAATACATTGCCTACTTTTAGGGTTGTTCTTTCTTATTTTTCTTATCTAAATTTAAATTAATTTTTGATTTTAAAATTTAAAAAAAAAGTGAAAGAGGTGAACAAAATTTAATCTTTTTTTGCTGCATACTTCTAGGTATTGCGTTATTTACAGGCAATTCCTGGAAGTATGCAGCAAAATATTTCAGGTTTTGTTCACCCAAATAGATTTTATACCCTCCACCATAGTATGGAGGTTCATTCTGTTGGTAACACCTCGAAATATACATTTTAGACCCCACAAAGTATATTCTTGAGCAGCATAAAATTCTATGTCGATTTAGCGATGTCCGTCTGTCTATTCACCTATCCGTCTGTGGAAATTCCTCTAGTTTCCAAACGAAATGAATTAGGTTGATAAAATTTTACTCAAATGTGTATTACGTCTGCAGGACTTTTGTTATTGAAAATGGGCCATGTAGGACCACGCTTTCTTATAGCCTCAATATAAAGGTACCTCCCGCTATTGGGTATTTTGATGATTTTAGCTACATTATTCACCAGAATTGTTTCAAATTTGGTATTTGAAGTTCATAATGGATACTACAGCCTAGGACAGAAAATTGTCTGTGCAGGTCCACGTTTTCGTGTAGCCCCCATATGACAGTACCTCACGATATTCGATATTTTGATGATTTTAGCAACATTATTTACCGGAACTATTTCAAATTTGGTATTTGAAGTTCGTGATAGATACTACGGGCTACGACAGAAAATTGTCTTTGCAGGTCCACGTCTTCGTATAGCCCCCATGTAACTGCACTTCCCGAAATTGGGTATTTTGGTGATTTAAGTGACATTATTCACCAGAATTGTTTCAAATTTGGTATGTAAAGTTCGTAATGGATACTCCGGCCTATGACAGAAAATGGTATGTGCCGGTCCACCTCTTCGTATAGCCCCCAAATAACGGTACCTCCTGATATTGGGTATTTTGATGATTTTAGCTACAGTATTCACCGGAATTGTTTCAAATGTGGCATTTGAAGTTCGTAATGGATACTACAGCCTAAGACGGAAAATTGTCTGTGCAGGTCCACATCTTCGTATAGAAATTTTATTATTTATTTATTTATTTTTTATTTATTTATTATTATTTTTTTTTTTTTTTGAACATTTTTAAATTTTTTCCGAATGGTGGAGGCTATTCAAAGTTCGGTCCGGCCGATATTACATCTTCTTTAATGGTTTTTAAAAAATTTTGCGTCCAAAAAAGCGATCATTTTGATATAACTCCCAAACCATTTTAAATACCCCCATGATCATTTGTTGAATGGTTATTTGCATTAGCTTTCAAATGATAGCTATATTGTCGATATCGGTTTAGTAGATCCGGATCTAACACTGGTCGGTCTTGGACCCGGACTTCAAGTTGAAATACCGGAGTATCCGGGTCATTCCCCCAAGAAAAAAATACTCTCCCGGAATTAGGATACAAATACCCACTTCTAGAAATTTCCAAAAAAAATCGTGGATCTTTTTTAACTGGAGTTGTACCCTAAATATGAACCGATTCTCACCAATTTCACTAGGGTTCGTCCTCCAGCCAAACACATGATTTGTGGAAAATTTCTTCTAAATGGAACAATAAATGCGACCTGTACATAGTTTACAATAATAAATGGACAGACAAGCGGACATTCGAAAATCGACTCAGAATGTGATTCTATAAAGGTCCTCCAAAGGATTTAACTCGCCTTTTTTTTCTCCATGTTACAAAAACCCCAATATCCTGACCACAGTTGTGGTGATGGGTATAAAAATGATTGAAAATTAAAAATACAAAAAAATGGAATCTGTCGAATTTTGATCACCCCCGACATTGGCTGATTGATAAATGTAAATTTGAAATCCATGGAATATTTCTAGTTTTTAATTTTGCTTATTTTTAATTTAATTGTTATTCCAATGTTGAAAATTTATTACATTTTCATGAATCTTTTCGAAAATCCCAAAACTTCCTTGGAGGACATCCAAAAGTATGCTTGAAAAGATACACATATATAGAGAAGAATAATTTAAAAATGTATTTCGAAAAAATTAAATTTTAAGAGGTCTTAATTTAAAATTGTACTAATTTATATAATTCTTGGCTTTTCTCCCAAAAATAGGGAAAAACAAAGTAATAATTTTCCCCAATTTTCGCCAACAACAAGTTCATAAAATATCTGCACCTTTGTGGTTTGCGAGGCAAAAATTCAAATACCTGCCGAGTTGAATTTTCTTTTGGGAGAAATTTACTTTTATTACCCCAGGCAGGCAGTAGACATGGGGGGCGGAAAACAAAGAAATAAAAATCTATTCATAAAAATTGTTTGGATGCTGTAGTTTTTGGGGTTTTCGGTCCAACCACGGCCATGTTGACAACACCAACACTGAATATTATTTTTATTGTTCCGAATTTTTCTGTCTCGAGAGACAACACAATTTTTTTTGGGTAAATTGCTTTTGTATGGCTTCTGATAGATTTTGTTGTTTTTTTGGATAAGTAGGGGGTGGTGGGTTGGTGGCGTGTATGACACTTTTATTTTTTCTGAGCTGATAGATAGACAGGCAGCCAGGGAATTTTTGACATTATTTTTACAAGAAGCAACGAAAATAAAAACAATAAATAAGAAGAAGCAGAAAAGGAAGAAAAGTGCAAAAAACGACAGACAGACAGACAGACAGAGAGACTTGTTGTTTTGTGAATTGTCAGCAAAATTTGGGAATTGGGAACATTCATTTTGGTTATTTTTGAAATCATATTTAGGTGGGTGGGTGATTGGATGAATGTAAATGAGAAGGGGTGGAGGAAAAGTTGGGAGGGAGGTGAGTATAAGGAAATTGAAAATATTTTTAAATTTCCGACAAATAATATAATCTTATAGAATTCATGGAAAGGGGTTACGGAATTTGAATTTTAATAAATCGAAATTTTCAATTTTACTGTCATCGAATTTTGCTCGGATTTTTTTTATGTCAAACGAAGACTAGAGAGCGACTTGTGGCTTCGGGCTTTATCAATTTTTCAGCAGCGGGTAATAATCGCAATACCTTAAAATTGACTTTAGGTTGTTCAGAAAAAGTCGAAAATCGATTTTGAAGAAATTGAAGAAAATGTTGACTTTATTTTCGGAAAGGAAATTTTAAAAGCCGAACCTGGATCTGTGCGGATAATGGTTTATTAAAAGAAACAAGCCTAAGTTAAATCTAAATCAACAAATCTTCAATCAACTTAGAGTCGAAAATCGACTTTTAGATATACGAAAAAAAATTGAAATACTTTAAAGAAAAATTTGATTGTCAATAAAATTTGAATTGAAAAATTTTTTTTTTCGTATTTAAATGAAATATAAAAGCCGAAAAACGGAATCGAAATATGATTTCGCATAGAATTGGATATAAATGTTCGAATTTCTTGTAATTTTGCGCATATCAATATTTGTATCTCTATTAGATGAAGTATGAAAATGGAATACTTCGGTCGATTATACAGGGTGAGATAAAAAAAAATCAGCAACAAAGTCAAAAGCCCTAATTTTTACTTTTTTTTAATTTAATTAAATGAAAGCAATGAAAAATGTCGGAAATAGCATCAAATTTTAGAATAAGTTTCGATTTGTTCGAATTGGTCACCATTGGCACGAATTATGGCCTTCAAACGGCCAATGAAACCGTCACACGCTGCCCGAATGTTGCTCTGCGGTATTTTGACCCATTCCCGGCGAAGCGCTTGCTTGAGGTGAGCGAGCGACATTTTTGTATTTTTTTAGTGCCAACCTTGCTTTCCAAAATACTTCGGGGACACAATAGTCCAACTAGGATTGGTATCCGGAGATTTTGGTGGCCATTGTGCGCTGTAAATGAAACGAGGAACTTTATTTTATAACCATTTTTGGGTGGAGCGTGCTGTATGTATCCTGTTGGAATGTCCAAGGTCTGCGGCCAAAATGTTTGCGTGCCCAAGGCTCTAATATACCCTCCAGAATATTTTCGCGATAATATTCGGCATTTATTCTGATATCACGGTAGATTAATACGAGCGTAGAACGACAATCGGCTGTTATGACGGCCCACTCCATCACACCACACCATGGCCGGCGCTTGTGTTCTGGTGGCCAACCGAAGGTGCACATTTTAAGCTGACCTCTTTGGCGAGCAAAACACGATAATTTTGTTTGTTTACAAACTGCTGGACAACGAATGTTTTCTCATCGGAGACGGAGAAAACCAAATTCGACAGTTCATCACTTTCGGCCAAACGAAGCAATTCTTTAGCTCTTTTGAGTCTATTTTCTTTCCGATGCGGTGAAAGTTTTTGCACTTTTTGGAATTTCAATGGCTTTACCCCGAGCTCATTTTTCTATATTTGCCGAATGGAATATTGCGATATGATCAGCTCACGAGCCATTTTTCGGCCACGGCGACGAGGGTTTCGATCAAGTCGCTTCTTGACTTTTTCAACTATTTCTTCAGTTTTCAATATTTGTCGAATGGAATATTGCGATATGTTCAGCTCACGAGCTATTTTTCGGCCACTGCAACGCGGGTTTCGATTATGCCGCTTCTTTACTTTTCGAACCATTTCTGATGATGTTTTCTTCCGTCCACTTCCTTGACGTCGGGCTAGGCTACCAGAATCACGATAACGAGCGATGGTACGAGATACAAAAGATTTATTTACATTTAAATGCTGGAGTGCTCTAACGATAGCCACTTATGGCTTTCCAGCCAAATATAAAAAAATCACACTATCACGCTTGAATCCCTTCACGAATA